TTTTTTTTTTTTTYCCAGCTACTTCTGTGCCACTTACAGGCGTCTCTCTGCAAAGCAGCCTGCTCCTGTCAAAGGAACAATAAYCCAAGGACAGCTCGTTTGGGTTTATTGTCCCCCTGCAATGTTTGGAGCATCTTTGGCCTCCCACGTAAATTCCAACTTCCATTTATTAAATACCTCGGTGGCATTTTCTTTTCACTGTCCCACCGCTCGTTTAATATTACGTTTGACATTCTGAGCTTTACGGATGGCAACAGAAGCAGAATGGATGAGCTAAAAATAGCCTGCCAGGGAGACTGGAGCTGGAAATAGGCTGGGGAGCAGCCACCCCGTGCCCTGAGCGTGGCCCCGTGTTTGGGGAAATGACAGAGCTCAGGAGATGGGGAAGAGTGAGCTGGGAGTGAGCTGGAACCTATGGGGTGTGGATGGAGCAGGGAGAAAACTGGGAATGGGGACAGGATGGGGACAGGGACAGGATGGGGACAGGGATGGGACAGGGATGGGGACAGGATGGAGACAGGGATGGGGATGGGGACAGGGAGGTGGGCAGGAATGGGGATAGGATGGGGACAGGGATGGAGATGGGTATGGGGACAGGGATGGGACAGGGATAGGATGGGGACAGGATGGGGACAGGGATGGAGATGGGTATGGGGACAGGGATGGGACAGGGATAGGATGGGGACAGGATGGGGACAGGGATGGGGACAGGGATGGGGACAGGGATGGGGATGAGGATGAGGACAGCAATGGGGACAGGATGGGGACAGGGATGGGGAAAGAGACAGGGATGGGGATGGGGACAGGGATGGGGACAGCAATGGGGACAGGGATGAGGACAGGGATGGGGACGAGGCTGGGCTGTCCCAGTCACGGCTCACGGAGCTGCTGCAAACCCCATCACCTCTGTCTGGAGCTGCAGGAGCCCAACCCCTCCACAGCTCAGGGACAGAGGGGGACACAACCCAAGTGTGACATGATCCCAGCACTTTCCCCACCAGCCTGTGCCACCCCAGGTGCTGCATGTCAGCCCACCAGCCTGTGTCACCCCACCAGTCTGTGTCACCCCACCAGCCTGTGTCACCCCACCAGCCTGTGTCACCCCAGCAGATGTGTGTCACCCCAGGGCAGCCGTATGTCACCCCACAAGCCTGTGCCACACCACCAGCCTGTGTCACCCCACCAGCCTGTGCCACCCCACCAGCCCTGTGTCACCCCAGGTGCTGTATGTCACCCCATCAGCCTGTGCCACCCCACCAGCTGTGCCACCCCACCAGCCTGTGTCACCCCACTAGCCTGTGCCACCCAGCAGCCTGTGCCACCCAGCAGCCTGTGCCACCCCACCAACCTGTGTCACCCCACCAGCCTGTGCCACCCAGCAGCCTGTGCCACCCCAGGTGCTATGTGTCACCCCAGCAGCCTGTGCCACCCCAGCAGCCTGTGCCACCCAGCAGCCTGTGCCACCCCAGGTGCTATGTGTCACCCCAGCAGCCTGTGCCACCCCAGCAGCCTGTGTCACCCCACCAGCCTGTGTCACCCCATCAGCTGTATGTCACCCCACCAGCCTGTGTCACTCCACCAGCCTGTGTCACCCCATCAGCTGTATGTCACCCCAGCAGCCTGTGTCACCCCACCAGCCTGTGCCACCTCACCAGCTTGTGCCACCCCAGCAGCTCTGTGCCACCCCAGGGCAGCCTGTGTCACCCCACCAGCCTGTGTCACCCTACCAGCCTGTGCCACCCCACCAGCCAGTGTCACCCCACCAGCCTGTGCCACCCCACCAGCCTGTGCCACCCCACCAGCCTGTG